TGAGACAGGGTCTCACTATGTAGTTGAGACTGACCTGGAACTCACTATGTAGCCCAGGCTGGTCTCGAACTCACAGCAATCCTCCTGCTTCAGCCTCCCAAGTGTTGGGATTACAGGTGTGCGCCACCACACCCGGCTACACTGGAGAATTTCATTTATGGTACAATGTAAATTCTGATTATTTATTTTTCACACTTTGTGTTTTGTTTTGTGATAGGGTGTTGCTGTGTAGTCCAAGCTGGCCCTGAACTCATGGAGTTCCTTTTGCTGCAGCCTCCTGAGTGCTGGGATTAAAGGCGTGTACCACCGTGTGAACTAAAACTTTATATTTTTAAAGTTTATTTTTGACCAATCAGCACCAGCCATACTGAATTTTATGGCATTTCAAATGAAGTTCTCTTGGCTCCTTGTCACGCATGTGCTCTTCTCCCTTCAGGGCATTCATTCCCTTCCCTCCTCAGCCCTCATCTTGTCTCTGTAGCACAGACAACACCCATTAAATATATTACATATTACAGCCTTAAACTGAATTATTTTTAAAAATCTTGCATTTTTCCTCTAAAAATAAGAGCACTTCTGAAAGCATCATCATGTGCCCCAAGCTTGAAAATAACTCATATGTTGATTTTGTTGTTATTGTTGTTCTGGGGCTTGAACCCAGGAGTGTCCTACCACTAAGTTACATCCCCAGTCCTTCCTATTCTTTTAATCCAAGGTCTTGTTAAATTGCCTAGGCTGGCCTTGAACTTGCGATCCTTCTGCCTCGCCTTCATGTGTCAATTTTTTAAAAGTGCACTTAACTTCAGCAAACAATTTAACATGGTATGAGTTGTAGTAGGGCTTTGTCCTGCATGGATGCAGAAGAGGCATTCCTGCCAGAGAATATAAGAATAAAATGCCTGGAGACGCAGACAGGCAGGAAGAAGGCTGGGGCGGGGGACAGGTGACACTCTACAAGGTTAGTCTGCAAGGTACAGAAAAATGCTGGTAGCTGTAACAATCCTGGACACTGATCACTGCCCCTGACAGCCACCTCCAGAGTGCGTCTGTGTTCATGTTGGCTTCAGCACCTGCCACACATGAGCGTTCCAGGATCCAGTTCTTAGAGAACAGACAGACCCTGTCATCTTTGCTCGGCACCTGGCATTTTGGGGATTGAGTCCACCTGCCCAGCCTGGACTTGTCTGTCCACAAAACCTAAGCCCGAGACAGCAACTGGGTTAGGGAGGTCCTGTTCCAAATGCAAGGCTCCAAGGTGTCAGGACTCTGCTGTGGCCATAGCAAGGAGCAGATTCTCTGGTGAACTGAAGTGGCTCCTTGGGAGAGACCGTGTCCCAGGCATCGCCAACTGGCAGCCTGTAGACTGGCGAAGGGCGGGATGTTCCCACCCCCAGTTCCCACCCCCAGTTCCCACCTTACCCGGACACAGGGTTGAGTGAGCTCCCATGGAAAATGAACTTTCAGAGGCAGATGTGATGCAGGTGAGACAGGGAGAGGATCCGGGACCACCCAGTGGGGCCCATGGAGTCACAGAAATTCCTATCTCAGGCTCAGAGAGAGAAAGGAAGTGACACATGCCTGGCTCAGCAGACAGAGCGAGGGCCACCTGTTACAGAGCACAATTAAATCTCTAGGCGAGGGATGTAAGTGGCCCGAAGGAGCTGGGAAAGGCCAGGAAATGGATTCCCAGCCAGAGGCTCCAAAGGGCAGGCAGCTCTTTCTACACCTTCGCTTTAACCCTTTTGGACTTCTGACCTCACCGGCAGAATTATTAAGCCACTCTGTTTATGGCCATTCATTACAGCTGCAACGGGAAACGAATACAGGGCTACATCCAGCCAACAGATGCCTGCTGTTAGACAGATATTTGGTGTTTCGAAAATCTGGAAATGCTGTCTAACAGTCCAGATTCTGAACTCCTCTTGGGAACCCCCACTAAAAAAAAAAAAACCCCAAAAAACAATGACAGCAGAATTGGCAACAAATTCTCCACATTTCTTATTTATATATTTTTATTTGAGTTTTTTTTTTTTAATGGTGCTGGGAATTGAACACAGAACAGCTGGGTCCCCCAGTGCTCTGCTATTAAATTATATCCCCAGTTCAATATTTCTTACTTTTTAAAGTTTTATTTATTTATTTTGAAGTGCTTGGGCTTGAACTCAGGGAGTGGCACATGCTAGGCAAACACTCTACTACTGAGCTGCATCTTCAGCTGGATGCTCAGCCTCTCTTGGAGACAGAGATTAGTTGGACCCAGGCAGAGATCACCTTGTTTAGGTGGAGCGAGGGCCCTGCAGTGTCCCATCATCCCCGTCTGTTTCATTTTCTCACACTACCATGAGGCTAAGGATCAAAGGTTCATCTCTATTCTGCAAGGCAGGATGACCTTTACCTTGCTAAAAATCTGTAAACAAGAAGTTAGGGGTCAAGAATTGGAAGAGAAAAGGAGCACCTAGACCAGCAAGAACCTTCCTTCTCATTTGAACTTGGACTTCGCCACATGAAAGGGAACCCACCTTACTGACCTGCATGCGCTCCGAGCTCTGAGCATCTTGGGAGCTTACCTGCAAAGGGTGGGCCCAACAAGGCGGAGACGCCATTAGCACAGATGATGATGCCATAGGCATTGGCCAGGTGTTCGATGCCGACCAGGTCTTCCGTCACCACGGGCATCAGGGAGAAATACCCACTAGAGAACCCGATCAGCGCACAGATGGCAGCCAGGCCGGCATAGGTATGCATCAAGGGCAGAATAAAAATGCTGAGGACCAGAGTGAAGTTGGCCACGAGGAAAACATTCCAGACGCTGATGCAGGGCAGGTCCGCCACAAAGCCCAGGCTCACTTTCCCAAAGATATGGAGTATTGCTATGATTGAAGTCAGGGGGAAAACATCATTTTGCTCTGTCAAGTTATACAAATTGACTATTTCTGGGAGGTGGATGAAAGGGATGACAAAGCTGCTGTAGGCAAACAAAGCCCAGAAAATAAAGGCAACAAACATCTGATTAGTAAAGAGTGAGGCTGTCCCAAAATAGCCTGAGTACCAGTCCCGGAAGCCCTTCCGGACCAGCAGGGTGATCTGTCTCACGCTCTTCAGAACTCGGAGGGCGCACATGTTCTTCCTGGGCCGGACCTGACCTTGGCACTCCTGGGCTTGAAGGTCACAGAGGTTGCCCTCGTTCCTGGGCGTGCTGTCTTTCTCTTCTGTACTGCCCAGTTGTCCACCTGACTTTACAGATGCTGTGGAGGGAGCCCGGGTTACTTGGGGGTCTTTCCCGGCTGAGCAATCTCCATCTTTCCTGGGAGAGAGGGGCCTCATGAGTGCCCCGCACACACACAGGTTCAAGGACACGGCGCCGTGGATGAACATGGCATTGCGCCAGCCGTACTCGGAGCACAGGTACTTGAGCAATGTGGTCATCAGGAACGTTCCGAACCCTGTCCCGGTGGTGCTGAGTCCCTGGGCCAGGGCTCGTCTCTTTTGGAAATACCTTCCCACCATGACCACTGCGGGAAGGTAGGCCATGCCACTGCCAAGGCCTGCAGGGGGGTGAGAAGAAATGCCCACGGTACAGCATCGATGAGTAAGGCATGAATACAGCCGTTTAAAGATCCCTCACTATCACCAAACACCTGAGAAAATCAACTTATAAGATGGGAAGGTTAATTTTGGCTCAGGGTCTCCGAGTTTTCAGTCCATGGCTGGCTCACTTTGCTGCTTTTGGGCCCATGGGAAAACAGATAATGGGGAACACATGATGGAGTAAACCTGCTTGCCTCATGGAATCCAGGAAGCAAAGAAAAAGAAGGAGAGACCACGCCCCCAGTGACCTAACAGCCCTTTGCTAGACCCCGCCTCCTAAAAGCGCCACCACCTCCCAATAGCACCGCAGGATGGGGCCAAGCCTTCAACACATGGCTGGTGGGAGACATTTAAGATCCAAACCATAACATCTGCATTCCCTTATATTGGTGTCCACCCATACTTTTCCTAACAGAGGAATAACGGTGATTGTGAAAAGCTCTGAGGAGAAGCACCGGGAAGGCTTTTACCACAGGCTGTTTTACCCCATCGTTTCCCCTCAGGCTTAGTGGCCAAGGAGCCTCCTCCCATGAGAACACAAGCTATGGGTGGACAGGATGGGCTGCAGTGTCAGCCCTGCCAGGCCCAAGACAGCCTGAGCTTGGTGGGTGAAGAAAGAATGAATGGTGCTCCAGAGGCTGTGCTTTCTTGGCCTTGCTGGTTGCACTGTGGGCCTAGGAAAATGCTTATGTCCAAGGGAATGCGCAGCAACTCGGGACAGTTTGCAGAAACCCAGGAATGGGCCGATTTGTTCCGAAGTCAGTTGGAAGAATAAAGTCGTGTCAAGACTACAACATAATTCTATTTTCATCTCTGATTTTTAAATGTATCTTTAGAAAATAGGAACAGTCATTCACATTGGCAAAAATGAGACACTGGTGGGGAAGATGGTTTGTGTCCAGGGCAAGGGCTGTGTGGAACCCTCTGTACTTTCTACTCAATTTTGCCAAGAACCTATAACTGTTCTAAAAAATGAAGTCTATTAATGATATGAAATTACATAACATAAAATAAAATGTTCAGTGCTGCCCACACCAAATAGCCAATTTAAAAATGAAACCCTCCTGCTGAGTTACCATCCCTTACTCCCAATTTTACCCTATTCTACCCTTTTTCTTATTATGGTTCAGATCTAATGCCTGCTATTTGTGAGGTGGTTGGATTAAGGGGGACTATAGCTGATTTGCTGTTAGGAGATGGGGCCTTTTTGGAAAGGGAGGGTTACTGGGGATGTGTGATAGTTAATTTCGATGTGTCAACTTGAATGGATTAAGAACTTCCTAGTGGATTAGTGTAGCACAGTTATCAGTGTGTCTGCAGATGACTGGCAGGTAGGCCAGCAAATTGAGGAGGGAAGACCCACCCCGGATGTGGATGGCTCTAACCAAGAGGCTAATAGCCTGAATGGAGTAAAAGAGGGGAAACTGAAAGGAGTCTTTGAAGGACCTCTGTACTTCCCCACTGCATTTGGATGTCCACCTCTAGGTCTTTCAGGCTTCTAGCACAGACTCTCCAGCCTTCCAATGCAGACCCTTCAGCTTTCTGGCATGGAACTTGCACCAGCCTGGGCATGAACCCTGGAGCTTTAATCTTCTGCTCTATCCTGTGGCTCTCCACCCTGCAGAATGCAGCCGTTTGCATTCTTTCCCCCGCCCCCCGATTCCATAGGCGGCAGCCATAAGCCTCTAGTAAATCTTTTTAATTTTTAAAATTTTTTGAGACAGAGTCTTGCTGTGTAGTCCAGGCTGGCCTTGAACTCACAGCAGTCCTCCTGCCTGAGTACTGAGATTAGAGGTGTGCACCACGACGCCCAGCTCAGTAAATCCTTTGTATCTCACACATGTAACATTATGTTACATTTGTTCCTCTACTGAACCTTAACTGGAACAGGGTGTGACCTGGAGGGTAAATTTCCCTTCCTGGCTCTTCCTTGACTCTTCTCAGCTTCCTGCCTGCCACGCCATCTTGTCTTGGAGACTAAGGACTGCAATCTGTGCCAACCATGAGCCAAAATAAACCTCTCTCTCCTTACAGTGGGCATTAGGTATTGTGTCTCTGCAATGAGAAGGACTTAGGTCCTATGGTACTTAGTCATATGACTTACTTATTTATACGTGTATTGTTTATGGTCTTTCTCCACTACCCCTTTGCTAGACTGTAAGCCTCACAAAGACAGGGATCTTCTGGTTTTGTTTACTGAGATCTCCTCAAGTGCCTAGAACAGTGTCTTGTGCACAATACCTGAATGCAAGAAAGTTCTATGGCAAGATAAAATGGTCATATTTTGAGATAATAGCAACCATTTTCAGATGAGACTTGTTTTACATTTCCAAAGTTAAGGTATAAACACGGGCTGCAAGATATGTTACCTGTCAGGCATGGTGGTGCATGCCTGTAACCCCAGCACTTTGGGATAGAGATGGAAAGATCACAGGTTGCAGCCCAGCCTGGACAATTTAAGACACATAGCAGAATCCTGCCTCAAAAAATAGAAGGAGACTGGGAATGTAGCTCACTGTGAAGATCCTTGGTTCAGTCCCCAGTACTAAAGGAAAGGGGCGAGGGATTGCAGGTACAGCTATGATAAAACCAGTTAAAAATCATGCATCGACAGGGATATTTTCTCAGAAATGTGTCACTAGGTGATGTCATTATGCAACCATCAGAGAATGGATTTACAAAAACTATGGTGGCTATGCTGTCACTAGGTGGTATGATTTTGGGGGACCCCTGCCATACATGTGGGACATTACTGATCGAAATGTCATTAGTAGTGCATGACTATATTTGTTAGCAACATGAGATTCTTTGATAGTAAATACTGTGGCACAGAATTGTCACCCTTATGGTAGTATTGGGGGGCTGTGTAACAACAGAAAGACCCCAGATGGCTTTGGGTTTAAATTCTAGATCTGCTCCCTAGAAAGAAACTATATAATCTCAATCAAGCCAGTTAAACACTCTGCAGCTGAGCTTTCTCATGAGCGACTCAAAGACAACACCACCTGCTACTCTGAGTATTATGAATTCGATCAAGAATGTGCCCTGATGCTTCCCATCTCTGGAAAGTGACTGGATTGTGGGGGACACTATACCCCCCAGGGGATTAACCCACTGACGCTTTCACAGCTGACTTGCTGTTAGGAGGCGGGCTTGGCTAGAGGTGGGTCACAGCTCCCCCTTTGCTCTCTGCTTCCTGACCGCCATGATGTGAGCAGCTCTTCCTCCGCTGTGACCCATGCACCACCATGCCTGACAGGTAACATATCTTCCTCCGCTGTGCCATGCCATTCTGCCTTGGAGCAGGCCAACTAAACTGTGAGCCAAAGTTAACCTCTTCTCCTTTAAGTTGTGGGTGTCAGATATTCTGTACCTGCCATGAGAAAGTGACTGAGACAGTACATATATACCCATGATTTATATATATTCCACATATAAATGTACTATACTCCATGTTGTACCAAGGTGTCAATTAATGTTAATATCTCACCTCTTACAATAGGCTATTAGCGAATGCAACAGTTTAAATCAAATTCCAAGTAAGCTTTTAAGAAAGTAGAATGGTTTAACGACTCCTCTTCCAGCTTCAACAATTACCAATTCATGACCAATTCTGTACCCACTCCCTCCATGTAATTTTCAAACAAATCTTCAATATATTACTTCATGTGTGAATATTTTAATATAAATATCTAAATGTAAGACCTATTTAAACGGCAGTCATTTTATCATTATCCCATCTGAATAAAAATAAATGACTCCTGATAATAAATATCCAGAAGGTGTTCAAATTTCCAAATGTGTCATAAATGACCATAGTTTTTTAAAAATCTTTTTTTGTTGTTTAAATCAGGACCCAAAGGAGGTCCACACATTGCTGTTTGTTGATGATTATTTTAAGTGTCTTTTAGCCTCTAGTTTTTCTTGCCGTTAGTTGAAGAAACTGGGTCAATTGTCCTGTGCAATTTGTCATACCCTGCCTGCATTTTGCTGAAATAAGTTTTTTTAAAAATTTGATTTGTCACTGACAGTAACTAACATGCTGAATTTAATATGGTTATGGGTTTCTAAAGAGCAGTGACATAAAATGACTCATAGAAACAGAAAGGAGGGACATAAGCATTAGAACAGTGTTCACACTAACCCACTTCAAGTAACAAATGCTTCTGTGAGTGATGAGGAAAAGTCTCGCTCAGTGTTAAAAGGATCTGTTTCCCTTTTATGCTGATGATCCACACCCTTTGCAGCTTTCACCCCTTTTGCAGTGTGACTTTGGGAGGACTTGAGGGTGTGTGGGCTCAGGAGAGCCTGGTATTATCCAGCCCAGGGCACAGCCCCAGACCACTTCTTCACCACAGCTAGGATTAGAGGCAGGAACTATACCCTGGCAAGCAGGGTGGGAGGAGGAACCTGGATATGGACAGAAGATCTGTGGTCAGGGGTCAGTGTGGATGGAAGAAGAGGCCTTCAGGAGCCACCCCGGAGAGAATGGAGCTGACAAAGCTGAAGACACCTTTCCCAGGTGCCTTGGCTGCCCTGGATGCTCGAAGTGCCATTCATTTTCTGCTTAATAGGACAACACTCCTCTGCAATTTTTAACAGATGCACAAACTGCACTGCCCAGCAGTCACTTTTAATCAATTTAATCTATGAATTTTAGCCTTTCCCCTGGGGAATGAATTTTAGCCTTTCCCCTAACAGTGTGCTAGATTTGCTTCGCTTCTTGGAATCTCTCTCTCCTCTCTCTCTCTTTTAGGTACCAGGGACTGAACTTGGGACCTTGTGCTTTCAAGGCAGGTGGTGGCAGAGCCACTGAGCTGAATCTGCTGGCTGGAATCTATACATGCATACGAGTTTTGCACTTTCATTAATTTGAAGAGGGCTGCAAGAGTAAATGATTATTCTGTGATTTGTGTTTGATTCTACAATTATTAAATGAGAGCATGGTACTAATTTCCTTAACATCAGTCTGCATTTACCTAAATGTGCATTATTACCCTCCTTTGCCTGTTCCTCACAGGAAAAGTGTCTAGCAGTTAGACCCAGGCGTTGAACAGTTAAATCTGATTCTATCAATGAGCTCAAGGACAGCTGTGTGGCTTTCCCACACTTTTAACACATTATATCTAGAAAACATTTCCTGGAGTGCAGGGTGGGATGGATGGAGGACACAGAACAAAATGTTTTAATGGGTTTCTCTTTTTTCCCCAAATTAAGTTCATGGCTAAAATGCTCAGTAAAACACTTCCGTCAAATCTAAAACCATGCTTACCGGCTGCCACTCCAAAAGTGAAAAAAAGACAGTGCACACTGGTGGTGTAGGCACTCAGCACCCAGCCCAGGGAGTTCAGCAGGCCTCCCACGATGGTGGTCCAGCGGCATCCGCAGGTGTTAATGAACAAGCCGATGAAAGGTCCTGCCACAGAGCATTGAAAGAGGAATTGACCAGTGGTGCTTTATTCTCACACTTTCTTTTGTAGTTGTTTTTTGAATCAGGGTTTCACTATGCAGCTCAGGCTGGCCTCGAACTCATGGCAATCCTCCTACCTCAATGTTTTCATGCTTTCTTAGTGCATCCTCACATGAAGCCAAAGGACACACTAGAACTGTTGAATAAGGCAAAAGCAAAACATTGTTTTATACACAAAAACCTTTTTAGCATGCAGAGATGGATGTAAATGATTTTATCAGAGAACATGAGGTTCTAGATTTTCAAGGAAGGCCGACCTGAAATAAAGAAACAAATACCCAGGTTCATTCTTTTGTCTCCCTCAGAAGTCCTTAACTAGTGGTCTAGGGATAGAATGCCCTTTGCAGCCTTGAACAAAGTTTGGAAAAGGCTTGGAATCAGTTGCCAATATTTAAAAGTTAAGAAAATTAAAAAAGAAAAAAGCCAACAGCAGCATCAACCACCTCCCCACACAGCCAGACAACAGGTGTGGTATAGCAGTTGATTCTGGCTGTCAAAATCCTCTGAGTTCTCTTGGTACTTTTGGTCCCTTTGGTCTCCCACCTGGCTTCCTGGCCTCATTTATATTATTTGTTTGGCCTAATTCACAGTTTTCATTCTTTCTCTCTTTTGTTTGCATTGCTGGGGATCCAACCCAGGGCCTCATACGTGCTAGGAAAGTGCTCTACCACTGAGCTACACCCAGCACCTAAATTTAATGTCGAACTCCAGTTCTTAAGGGAGCACAGGGAAAAGGGTTCTGAGATCCCCTGTTTCAGGCGGGGAACCTCTGGCCCTTGTGACTGAGGACACTAAGTGCAAACCAAGGACTCAGGCCCTGCAGGCTCTCCTGGTTCCTCCTGCACCTTTCAGGCTCTGCATTTACAACTCTGGGGACTCAGGAGTACCCGTCACGGGGCAAGATGTGACATTGTGCACAGCAGCATGGTGTTTTATGATGCAGATTCAGATCACTTTCTTTTCTCAGATGCTCTAGGTTTTTCCTTTCTCTTTCTGACTTTGCGGAACTTCTGACACTTCTCACCTTATGATCAATGATTCTTTGTGTGCAAAGCAATCCAGACTTTAGCAATACAATGTGAGTCTGCATCTGATATTCAGAGAGATGGCTCATGGTAAATATCATCTTATTTTTGGTTGTTATTGCTTTATATACTCAGATGGGACTATTTAAAATTAAAAACTTACTCCCCCTTTTAGCCCAAACTAAAATAACATTTCACTTTAATGTTTTGACTATCTTCATAACTCTTGGGTCCTCGGTCTTCTAGTGATTTGTTATTTTTCTTCTCTCTGTCTCTCTCTCTCTCTCTGGCTCATCTTTGCAGTAGATGGGACCCAAGGCCTTGTGCATGCTAAGCAAACAGTTTACCACTGAGCTCCACACTAGTCTTATTTAATGTATGTAAATGTCTAATCCTGCCCCGTATGGTGGCAAACACATATGTAATCCCAGCATTTGGGAGGCTGAGGCAGGAGGACAGCTTTTAGTTCAAGGCCAGCTTGGGCTACAGAGTGAGTTCAAGGTCAGTCTGCACTATATAGTGAGACCCCCCGACTCTAAAAACAAAAACAAAAATAAACAAAAAACTACCTAACCCAAAACATTATGAAGGCAAATGTTCCTTAATTAGCCTTGTTGCATTATAGAAAGTAATTCAGTAGATAAAGCTCTTAAAAGGGGCTTAATATAGTACATATATTTTATATATATGATGTATACTATATAAAATTATAACCTTATATAAATAATATATGACATAAGCCTGTTGGCATAGACAACTAAGGTAACTGTTGGGAGTAATAGAAATTCATACTCCATAAGTTGAAGCTATAGTATTTCTTTGATTTCTTTACACACATTTTTATTTTCCTAAACCCATGGTCACTTGACCACATCACATTTGGATAAGTGGGTAGAGAGAAAAACTGTATGACTCATTGGTTTGCTGTTCATGTCTCTTTTTAGATATAAAAGATCAACAGGTCACAATTCAAAAGCCCGATGTTTTCCACATCACACAAAGGGGCCAGAAGGAAGTTTTCCTTGTGTCTGTGCTGCACCAACAAGCCATTTGAGGGGGTAAAAATAAAGAAGAAATTCCCAAGTCAGTGCAAATAGTCATCTCTGGAGGAACTTCATAAACAAGCCAGAAAGCACTGAGTTCTTTACTGATAAGAGCACACAGTTGATAACATGTAGTAGACAAGTCTGGTTTTCTAGTTAATCAACTTTGGCGTGCTGGAGCTTCAGTCATTTATGAGTTACACATGGGCAAAATCACCCCAGAAATGCTGTCACTTCTCCACAGTTATGAAACAGAGACCTTTTGAAAAACCCAAACAATTAGAACCCCAGCTTTCCCAGCGCAGTCTTATTTCCTAACCATTGTCATTGGTGCCAGTGGGCATCTCCAACATCCAGTTCCAGGTTCAGCAAAATAAAAGAACCCCTCACACTGAGGACAGGTGAGAAAACTGAGCTATCGCCCTTTGATTATGACTCAGAATAATGTAAAGTAATTCAGTGGTGTTGTGGTTTAGAGCTAGATGTCCCCCAGAGCCTCGTGTGCTCATTGGTGGGGTGCTGGGGAGGTGGTTGGATCAGGTGTGATACACTAGCAGATTAGTGCACTGATGAGTTCATAGCCAGGTGTGATGTTGGGAGGTGAAGCCTCGTTGGAAGAGGTGGGTCACTGGAGGTGTGCCCTGGAAGGGTCTATCTCCTTCCTGCTCCCTTGGTCTATTCCCTGCTGCCATGCCATGAACTGTTTCTCCTCTGCCATGCAGCCCTGCCTTGGAACCACCTCACTATGGACTGAAAGAGGGTCATCCCATTTTGTCTCTCCCAATATCTGATGGGCCTGTAAGGCCATACAGCTTGGGTGACAACAAACAATTTGAGGAGAGCCTGGCCAGCACTCAGGGTGAAAGGAGGTCATTCTCTGAACCCTGAGTCCTATAGGATAAAGATTTAGCAGCTCTAAATCCATAGCTCCCTGCCTTGACTGCACAGTGCATCACTCTGAAGCTTAATAAAAACCTCCTGAAGCTTGGATTCCATCCCAGGGGATTCGGTCTAATGGTCCGGGTGTAGCCCGAGCATCAGGATCTTTAAAAACTTCCCAGGTGGCTCAGAAGTGCATCTAGGACTAATTAATGACTGAAGCTCTAAATCCACTTAGGAAGCCAATCATCTTCTGTAGCCCATGGACTGACTCCCCATCAAAAATTATTCAAGGAGCTATACCACAAAAGCTGCTTGGACAGGAATGAGGGGAAGAGGTTTTGTTAAAAGCTGGGGCTTCCTGCAGGACACCTGCAAATCCATTCTGGTAAAGAATGAAACAATGCATATTTATTAGATTTAACATATGCAAATTGTTGACCAAGAAAGAGATGGCTTCCAACTACCACAACACTGACTCATTTAATTTTTTATTAAAATTTAAAATAAGTCTAAATGAGCTTACAATGATTAGAAGATGCACAAAAGATGTATTTATTCCCTGCAGGTATATTTTCAATTCTCATTTGATGTAAGGGCACACACTTCTGTGTGCCAACAGACAAGACTTGAAGCCTGTCCTATACTTCCTGGCTGTTCAAACTTCAGTAACTTACTTAATGTCTCTGAGAGTTCCAAATTCTTCTCTTTTAGGATACAGATGATGCCCTGGCCTTTGGTGTTGTAGGATCACTGAAATTATTATAGACAGCTAAGTTAGGTAAAATTAGTACAGGCAGTCAGACAGAGCTAGACCTCAATGTATCTGACATCAGGTTGAGGGTTACATTTATTTCTCCTATGTCATTTGGAGGTCCCACCGAGATACCTGGAAGGAGGTAAGAGTCTGCTTTTGTTTCGTGGATTCTGGATTATAACTCATTTAGGTAATTAGCAATTGTCGTCCTCGTTTGTCAATTGCTTTGCCTTGAATTTTTATGCCTTGTCTTTTTTATGCAATTTTGTTGTTGTTGTTGTTAAAATGATGGTAAATTTAAGTTGAGAACATGGGAAGATAATGCTGTTTCATTGATGGGACGTTTTACTCTTGCAGGCAAGGTCTTGTATTCTTGTTTTGCTACATTTAGACTTACTAGTTGCTGAATTTATTGGTGCTCCTTGCTTGACCTGTTTAAATTGTGGTTTGTTATTTTAGACAGTAGCTTTAGGGAAAAGTAATGTTAGAATGTCCTCTAGTGAACTTTGACACTAACCAAAATATAAATTTATGAAATGCTATAAAATGGATCTTTTTGTGAAATCTAGTTTATATTTAGGATATATTCATGCCTATTAATAAATCACAGGACCCCAACTGCCAAAGGCAATAGGCTGGCAGCTATTCTTAAGACTTGGGAGACAGGTTTTACTGGGACAGTCTGGCCTGATTCCCCCTCTACACTATAGAGGGGACTGTCAAGCCTGTTCCACCTCAGTTTCCTTTCAGGTCTGGTCTTCTGCTGCTGAGGAGGCAAGCTTAGCTCTTGAGATTCTCCACTCTTGCCTTTCCAAGCTGAGGGTGATGAGTCATGGGCAAACTATCTCAATAATTCCCTATGTGTATGAGAAGAAAAGAGTTCCTTTTTCTGATCTCATTTCTGATCTTTTCCTGTCACTCTGTGCTTTCCTTTTTATAGATAGGGAACCCTGAACTGTCTAACCTTTCCCTCCTATCCAACAACTAAGAACTTTTAAGTTGAACCTGTAGCAAATGAGTGTTTGCTAATTCTAGACAAAGAAGTCATCTTAGATGAGAACACATTCAATTTAAGGGAGAATCCCCAACCTCCTGGCTCTCTCTCTCCCCTCCTAGTCCTGGTTCTCATCATTTATATGTGTAGGGTAGGGGAGTACTTTGGCTAATGTGTAAGTTATGGATGCTGGATAATGGGTGCAGGTTTTAACCTGTGAGCTTCTTAAGTGGGTTGCTAAGGAAGAT